GCAGCTAATGTGTGATAGATGCTATAAAAAACTAAATCAAAATAAGACAACTCTATTTCATATTCATTTGGGTTTTTGTAATATATGTTTAATTTAGAATATGAAGCTAAAATAATTGTTCCCCATCTCAATATTATGTTACAAAGAAAATTAGTTGTTTCTCTTATTTCTATTGTTGGTTCTAAGTTTGAAATCTACGACAGAGTAATTAGGGCAGGCTAGAGTTGTTTTTTTTATTTTTTTTATTTCGAGAATAAAGTCATAAAGGTATGAGAATAAAGTCGCTCTCGTAATGTTATGACTTTATTCTCGAAATAAAAAAAATAAAAAAAACAACTCTAGCCTGCCCTAATTACTCTGTCGTAGATTTCAAACTTAGAACCAACAATAGAAATAAGAGAAACAACTGATTTTCTTTGTAACATAATATTGAGATGGGAAACAATTATTTTAGCTTCATATTCTAAATTAAACATATATTACAAAAACCCAAATGAATATGAAATAGTTGTTCTTATTTTGATTTAGTTTTTTATAGCATCTATCACACATTAGCCGCCTGGTTTGACTGAAAATCAGCTGTTCTGGTGTAGGACCTACTCTTTAATCCCAGCTTATATTTCACCATCAAACCAGTGTTATAATAAATATGAATACTTGTATTTGGATAAATATGTTTAGATCGTTGTCCTTTAAAGACAAAGTTCAGCAAATGTCTTTATTCAGAGCATCAAAGAGCGACAGGTGCATAAATAAATACGCCGAGAACAGGAAGAAGAAAATATGGCGCCTAATTAATGTTTCAGGCTTCCAGAACAAAGAAGCTGTAACCTGTTCACACAGCGCCATGCTCCATGGCAGGTTTTTATCTTTGTTTTGCAAGTAGCTATAAGATGAAACAAAAGGTAAACAGAGTCAATGAGCACAAAAATGATGGCTGCAGCCTTAGAGGAGCTGAAGGAGATCTGCTATATTTCAAGCATCCTGTGCTGATTGGGAAAGATTTATGATTCAGATCAAAACAGCATCCAGAACAAAAATTGGCTGAAAATACATAATTTATGTCCAAAAAACATCTGGATTTGGTTGAAAAGTGAAAAGCTTAATTTTCAGATCGTTGAAAAGACGTAGAAGAGTTTTTAAGTTAGTGAAACAAAATCAGGCTGAAACTATTTCTGGACTAAAGACTCTGATGGACCGACCAGATATAAACCAATCTCTAAATGACATCTGGAAAAGTTAAAAGGACAGAGGTGAAAAATAGAGATATAAGTCAGACTTGTTCATATCTAGTGACTTATGTATGGATATTAATCATGAAATGCTTATATTGTTTATATAATTTATAGTAGAAATGTTAAAAAGGTGTAAAGCCTCTTTTCTTCCATAGCAGGACTGACTGCAGACCACATCTCATGGAGTTTCTTTTTTGTTTTCTTCATTTTAAGTGTAACAAATCACTGAAATTAAAAGTAAACTGCTGCTGTAATCTGTTATTTAAATAAAACATGTAACTTTCTGTGATCCTGGCTTTATAAGTTTAATGTTGGTGTTGCACATCTGATGCTGCTCTCAGTGGTCCTCAGTAAACCCAGGGGGAACAGAAGGGACGGGGATCAGGAAACGTAATTTGAAATCAAAGTGTTTCATAAAACTCAATCTGGAAATGAGGAATTTAAAAGATTTGAAAGAATCTGAGTGGAGCTGTGTCTCCAGCTCCACTCGGACGTCCTGAGTGGGCTTCCCACCTTCCTCATTCGCAGCCTCTTCCTGTCACTGCTCACTCTAATCCCTTTTAATTTCTTGTCTCACCTTAAACTAAAATCTAAATCATCCCATTTACTCACCCTCTCCATGAAATGTTTTTATTGCATTTCTTTTTTAAAAGCTATAAAAGTAAATGAATAAATCTTGTAACAGAGTAACTGATTTTTTTTGAATCAGTCCAGAATAAAAAAAATAACAGCAAATGCATCTATTATGTAAATTTGACTGTTAATCAGAATAAAATTAAAATGATAAAGTCATTTTAGACACTTTTAAACATTATTGCTAAATACAGTTAGTTATTCTCCATGTGATCGTTTGATAGGTTCCACTAGGTGGCGCTGGGGTTACACATTATGAAGCAACTCCATCTACACTACATGGACCCAAACTAAGGAGGAAACATATATTAAAGAAATACAGATTTAAACATCTAATTTATTTAAGACACTGATATATTTTCTAGCTGCATGGTTTCCCCTAATCACTTAAAGAAAATAAATAAAACAGACAAATATAATAAAAGATAATTGTCATTGTAAGAAAAATGTTAATAGTTCTGTCAGTTTGACGGCTTAGGA